AGTGGAGTGGGCTGGAGTGGAGTGGGCTGTGCTGGGTGTGGAAGGGCTTAGATGAAAGCCAACAACCAACAATATGTTCGGAATTTCGAAAAATTGAACCCAGGTAAACAAAATTATCTACAGGTTTTCAAGAAGCAAATCAGATTTAAGTCGATATGGGTGACGAGGAAGCTGTAAATTGTGATAAGAAAGAGGAAAAAAGATGACAGCATGAAGAAAAAAGAAAACTAATATACGGAAATATAAAAAGAGAATGAGGGGGGGGGGGTTGAAGTGTTAATAATGATAAATAAATGAAAATGAAAAAAGAGCAAGTTATGAAATATAAATCTTATGCAGATATAAGAGAAGAAAATATAAATAGAGGAAAATAGAAAAAACAAAGACAGTAACAGAACAGAAAGGCATTGGTAAGAGAAAAAATGAAAAGAAAGAAAAGAGCAGAAGAACGAAAATACAAGCTTAGAAGGCCTAAACACGAGTAGAAACGTACGAAACGCGGCGGCAAAAAAACAAAATTCATCAGAGTATCTCGAAACAGACCAGAAAAGGCCGAAATTACAAGCTGAAACGGCCGAAACTGCCAGCCAGCCAGCGAGTATACTCGCTTACCCGCTACAAGGAGAGCTGTGAGGGGCAGTGTTGAGCCTCCCCGGCGGCAGCCACCAGCCCAGACAAGGCCGAGGAAGGGCCGAAGACTCGACAACGCCACATACTTAAGAGGGAGAAATATGCTTAATAATAATGAGCAGCCCCCCCCCACCCACTCCCACAGGCGGTCCATTCACTTTTCTCATATCGTGACATTTTTCCCTAAGCTATGAAAGAAACATGGCCATGCAAATAAGGAGTTTCAATTTTTCCAGCAAGGGCAACATCAGAGTTGCATTAGCTACTTGCATGGAGCTAATAATTGCATGTTAGTAGAGCGAGCACATCTTTGTTATGTTAATGTCTGCCTAATGAGGCCCTCACCCCCTCCCCCCTCCTGCAACTTGGATGCCTTTTTTTCGAACTGGATTTTCCCAAATGGTTGGCAATTCATCATCTGATTTCATCCTTGACCATCGTCGACGACTTCCGCCAGCAGAGCCTTGATACTTTTGGTTAAGCAGAGTTCCAGACAGTAGAAAATGGGATTTCAGCTGTTGGGGGTAGTTATGGTCGAGGAGGTAGAGTTCCCTTGCGTCCAGAGGGGAGAACTTGGCGTATTGCGAGGCTTTCCTGTGATACCCCAGTGTTCCTGGGATACGCCAGTGTTCCTGGGATACGCCAGTGTTCCTGGGATACGCCAGTGTTCCTGGGATACGCCAGTGTTCCTGTGATATCCCAATGTTCCTGGGATACGCCAGTGTTCCTGTGACATCCCAGTGTTCTTGGGATACCCCAGTGTTCCTGTGATACGCCAGTGTTCCTGTGATATCCCAATGTTCCTGGGATACGCCAGTGTTCCTGTGATATCCCAGTGTTCTTGGGATACCCCAGTGTTCCTGTGATACGCCAGTGATCCTGTGGTACCCCAGTGTTCCTGGGATACGCCAGAGTTCCTGTGATACCCCAGTGTTCCTATGATACGCCAGTGTTCCTATGATACCCCAGTGTTCCTGTGATACGCCAGTGTTCCTATGATACCCCAGTGTTCCTGTGATACGCCAGTGTTCCTATGATACGCCAGTGTTCCTGTGATACCCCAGTGTTCCTATGATACGCTGGTGTTTCTATGATACCCCAGTGTTCCTGTGATACCCCAGTGTTCCAATGATACCCCAGTGTTCCTGTGATACCCCAGTGTTCCTGTGATACGCCAGTGTTCCTGTGATACCCCAGTGTTCCTATGATACCCCAGTGTTCCTGTGATACCCCAGTGTTCCTGTGATACCCCAGTGTTCCTATGATACCCCAGTGTTCCTATGATACCCCAGTGTTCCTGTGATACCCCAGTGTTCCTGTGATACTCCAGTGTTCCTGTGATACCCCAGTGTTCCTATGATACCCCAGTGTTCCTATGATACACCAG